GTATTAATCCTTACATTTGTCATAAATTCAAGTTTGGTTTCGAAAATTTTTTTTTGTTATTGGTTCAATTAATTCTATATTACATTTAGAATAATAAAATATATATAAAATTTTATTATTAGTTAAACTATAAATTAATTTTGACATGATATATTCATATATCAATCAGTAAATTTTGGATCGACCAATTGCTTTTTTTTGTACGAGCAATCGTCGAAGTTTGGATTGACATAGATTCCTATCACCAGGTACTAATCCGTCTAAAGTGAATTATATCCAATTTGAATGATTTTAATCCTTTTCGATACCGTATTTTCAGTGCAGAAATCCTAATCGATTCGGATAACTTTTTTTATAATTGATTTTAATCGAACATTTTCGGCAGGGATAGTTTAACTACGAAGACTAGAGTGGTCTTTAATGCTTCTAGTAAGGATTCAAAAAGTAGATCACTAAATGACGCTCTCTATAAAGGCCCAGTGATACAATCGGATCTGTTCTCAATAATAGTTCGATTTAAATATGTTCTATGTGCTGATCTTAAAAAAATGTATAGGCAGATAATAAATAGTGCACAAAGATTAGACTCCCTTGCAATCCATTCTGTGGTGGGAGGATTCCAGTGCGGATATAGAAGAATTTGAGTTATATACGTTAACATATGGTACAAAGCCTGCATCTTGTTTAGCAGTTAGATGCTTGCACCAGCTAGCGGAGGCAGAAAAATTTTTCTAGGGCCGCGGAAAGGGTTTATAGAGATTTTTACATGGACGATCTCGTAAAAGTGAGCCAGAAGTTTTATTGGTCCGGTTCTAAGATAGTATTAGCTTGGATAAGTGTTTCATCGCGAAAGTGGCAAGCATTTGTAGCAAATAGAGTTAATGAAATTTACAATAATTTTTCACCTTCTGAATGGCGACATGTCAGGTCTAAAGATAACCCTGTGGATTTGATTTCTAGAGGCACCACTCCTGAACAGTTATTGCAGGCAACGATTTGATGGGAAGGGCCTCAGTGGCTTAGAAAAAACAAGAAAGAGTGGCCAAAGGAAGGTGAAGAATTACCGCAAGATAATATTCCTGAAGGCGTAAACAAGCAGTGGCAATAACGACAATCATACCAGAGCCCGTCATAGATTGTAAAAGATATAGTAGATTCTGCGCTAAATAAGTTATTGCGTGTAACTGCATATGTTTTAAGATTTCTGTGTAATTCTTCTCTTATTGAAAAAACGTAAAAAGAACGAGCGTAAGTTGTCAACATTATCAGTAAAGGAGATGGACGAGGCTAAGGTAGTGTTAGTCAGGATGATTTAAACTGAAAAGTTCAAGGACGATATAAAGACGTTGAAAATTAACAATGAGGTTTCTCGCAGTTCAAAGTTATTAGCATTATATCCATTTCTCAATAAACAAAAAATATTGAGGGTAGGAGGAAGACTGAAGCATGCGACCTACTCGAAGAGATGAAGCATCCCATTATACTTCTTTCAAGTCATCATTTCACCAAGCTGGTGGTTTCATATTATCACAAAAAGTTGTTTCACGCAGGCGCACAAACAACGTTAAGCGCAATAAGAGAAGAATTTTGGCCGATATTAGCAAAAAATTTGGTTAAAAGAATGATACGAAACTGCGTGGGATGTCGCAAAGTGAACCCTAAGGCTAGCTGGCCAATTATGGGCCAACTGCCGGCAGTTCGAGTTAATATGGCAAGGCCTTTCTGGAATACTGGCGTCGATTATTGTGGCCCATTCTACGTGAGAGATCGAGTTCGGCGAAACTGCAAGCGTTATAAAGCGTACGTGGCTATTTTTGTATGTATGGCTACAAAAGCAGTGCACATCGAACTAGTAGAAGATCTGACAACGGAAGCCTTTCTTGCTGCGATGAAGAGGTTTGTGGCGAGAAGAGGAAAGGTGAAAAATCTGTACTCCAATGAAATTTCGACAATGGTCGAAATTTCATTGGAGCAGATCGGGAATTGCAATTGATATTGGAAGATGAAGAGTTTAAGAAAAACGTACAAGAGTGGATGACGGCTGAAAAAATAGACTGGACTGGCATTTCATACCGGCAAGGTCCCCACACTTTGGAGGCATATGGGAATCAACGGTACGCTCCATGAAGTTACACTTGAAGCATACTATTAGAGAGTCCTGTCTTACCGTTTCCGAGATGACAACGGTCTTGGTTCAAATAGAGGCCATATTAAATTCAAGGCTTCTGACTCCTTTATCAGATGATCCTAATGATCTGCAAGCAATAACTCCAGGTCATTTTCTAATAGGAGAAAATCTACAAGCGTATCCAGAACGTGACATACGGGAAGTAGCGGCAAATAAACTTTCACGGCTACAACATATTCAGCAAATAAGACAGCATTTCTGGTCCCGTTGGCAGAAGGAATATTTATGACTTGAATATTTATGACAATTTGTCAGAAGAGGAACAAGTAGAAGTTAAGATCGAGTTTACAGTCGGACAACTTGTCATGCTCAAAGATAACAAAGCTGTACCGCTAAAATGGGTTTTAGCAAGAGTTGTGGAAATACATCCAGGTCTAGACGGAGTAGTGCGAGCGGTTACTGTGCGTACGGATAAGGGAATTTATAAAAGATCAGTAGTAAACGTATCTCCATTGTTGGAATAGCTTATACAGGCAGATGTAAAATTTTTATGTTTAGCTTTTCTTTGGTGTTGCATCAGATGTAATGTGATAATGTGTAAGTCGAGACTCGTGTACTTTGAAAATATTTCATATTTGTCAAGGGCGGCGGCGTGTTAATATTTATCTTAAATAGGTTTATTTGCGTTCCCACGTTTTGAATTGCCACGGATTTTTGGGACTAGGATTAGATTAGTAGAGGCAGCGCTAGTAAGCGCGTGGAGTTGGGCACACTGTAGCGATGTGATGAGAGATGGCGTAACAATGAAAAGAAGTAACAGAATAAGGCACGACGTTGTAACGTACACACGGTTTTCTTTATAATAAAAGCAGCTACAAATACGAGTGACGTTGTTTCACAAGATTATTTCAACCCAAGGTTGACCTTACAGTAAAAGTATAAAAAAATATTCAAATCTCAATACACATAATAACTGTCAAAATATGTAATGACAGTCGCTCAACGAAGTAAGCATAGTGAAATAACCAATCAGCATTACGGAAAAGCGGCAACAAATAATTTCGAGAAATGCAAGTTATCGACTTAACATACCTTTTTTTAGATAGGTATACAGGGTGTCCCATTTTAATGTCCCACCTCAAATAACTTTTTTATTTTTGATCTTAGAAAAAAATGTTTCAGACAAAAGTTGTATATCTTTGAGGGGGACATAAGGTGGTGTCATTAGTGTGATCTTAAATAGTTGCTCGAAAGTCATGTGAAGGTTATCTTTAATTTCTTAAATGGAATCCCCTACTTTTTGTTGCATATTCTTGTAGATCATCTCGAGAGCTTTGCAAAACACATAGATAAAATATATTTTGGTTAAATAAATCTTTAGTTATAAAGCTTGAAAGTTACAGTACCGTCGACGTTAGCATGATCCAACGCATGTCCGAACAATGGCTGAAACCTTTTGAATATTGTTTAGGATCATGAGCTTGACAACATGTGTCAAGGCCATGATCATTGGAGATTGTTTCTCTTATTTAAAAAAAAATAACAGTTTTCAAAAATGAAAATAAGAGAAACAATTTCCAATGATTATGGCCTTGACACATGTTGTCAAGATCATAATACTGAATAACATTCAAAAGGTTTCAGCCATTGTTCGGACATCTTGGATAAAGCTAATGCTGTCTCTTATAC